CTTTGAGGACCCCGCTCCACACGTCAGGTGGTGTCATTGTTTTAAAAAGAGAGGAGGAGGCTGGGAGTTGGGCCTGGTGTTTAGGCAACATTTAGCCAAGGGGGATGGGGTCCAGGTGCCAGGGAGGCAAGCAGGTGGTACAGGGTGACTGCAGATGGGACAGGAGGCTGTGACTAACTTTGATTTATTGGCATCTCTCTAGAGTCATAAGCAGGCACCGCCCTGTTTACCTGAGGTGTGTGGCAGGACTACTTGAAGGCCTGGCAGCTGCCAGAGGAGAGCCTGTCTCCGGGCCGGGCCTTCTGCTCCTTGCCCCAGAGGGTTTTGAGTTTGCGGTAGTACACCTTGCAGCTGAAGCCCTCCTTGAAGCCCCCCTTGATGTGGCTCTTGAGTGAGTGCAGGGTGGGGTACATGCGGCAGCAGGCCGCGCACTTGTAGCCGTTCTGTTGTGCCGGGTGCCACTTGGAGGCCATTATGATGTCCTGGGATGTGATGTAGTCCATGGAGTCCAGGCCATGCCGGGTTTTCCTGGTGGCTTCTCGAGGGCAAGTGTTGTCTGGGGAGGAAGAGGACGAGCAGATGCTCTCAGCCACGTCCTCAAGAAGGCAGCTGTCCCCCCTGCCCTCGTCCCGCTGCACCTCTGGGAAGCTGTAAGTCTCTAGGTGGCTGTCTCTGTCTGCGCACACGAAGTAGCTGTAGGGGGAGAACCAGGGCCGGTAGATGGTGCAGTTCCGCCTCAGCTGCTCCCCACTCTGAGTGTCCCCCAGTGTGCAGTCTGCAAAGGAAAGGGCTGCGTCTGAGCCTCTGGCAATAGTAGGGAGCAGGGGACCTGAGCTGGCTGGAGGCTGCAGGCAAACACAGAAGGGCAAGAAAACAAGCACCACATGTGACCTCAGCTCCCTCCAGCCCACCGGGGCTGCCATCCTGAGTGGCAGTGGGGCTGGGGCGAGCCCCCGGGGCCTTCGTTCTTATTCCTTCCTTTTCTGTTGGTACCAGTGGCCATCAGAGCTCTGGGCAGGACTGGCCCCTTCTGTCACTAAGCCTTGTCACACCCTTCCCTCCCTGGAGACACCTTGTCCTCTGACTCCTCTGAGGATAGACATGGACAGGTGGCCCAGTGGACAGCCAGACTACTGGCCTCCCTCAGTCCCTCTTTGACCACCAGTGGTTATGACCTATCTGATCCCTGTATTGCCCTCTCATAAACTGCTCTAGCATCCCAGCCTGAGATCAGGACAGGAGAGGTACGAAGCCTCCACAGGCCTATAGGGCTCTCCTAAAACAGAAGGCCCAGATAGGAGATGCAGGTGAAAAGGCAGCATGTGGCCATCCAGCCTGTGGACACCCTTCCCTTAGGGGAGCAGCCCCAGTCCATCCTCAGCTTCTCAGGTGTCCCCGCCCAGAGTCGGACATGGTCTCACCTGCTGAGAGTGTGGTGTTGTGCACCCCGTGCCGGAGAGCACTGCTTTGGTACTGGGCTGCCAGGGCCTGAGCTGGGCTGGATGTCTCAGTGGGTACCGCTGTCTTTGCAATGTCTGGGTCACAGAAGAAACACTCTGGTAAGCTGAGCAAGGTCGGGAGTCCTCTTCTTGGGACTATGGCATACCTAGAGGCTCAATCTCTGTGCTTCAAGGCATCTCAAAGTTGAAGCAAAATAATGACCTCTAGAACCTGGCTAGGCAGAGCTATTCAGAGTGGCATCCTGAAGAATTCCATACGGGGCTGTTGCCTTTAGGCCTATGAAAGATGTTCTGGAAAGGGGGATTTAAGACACGGTCCCAGTGATACCTCTGTGCCTAGCCTACCCCTTATCTGTCCCTCCTGTGTCGGATCACACACATGACTTCACTGTGCATTGCAGGCCTTTGGGCATGCTGGGACAGGGTTTAGGGAGGGAGTGTGGGCCAGGGCTGCATGGCCCCGTGAGGGTGATAAGCCTGCTCCTCCAGTGGAAATAACCTCACACCCACCTCCCAGAGGGTCCAACTGGGCCCTTGCTGCCCAGCACACCCAGAGTAGCTGCTGACACTGGGATAGTAAGCCGACCTGCTTCAAATCCCAGGGTAGTAGCTGTGCTCCGAGGGGGCACACATTTATAAATGCCATGTGTATTGGCACGTGGGTATTTAGAACGCCCACACAGAACAGAAGCACAGAACAGTACTTCTCCAATTTTAATGTGCACGTGAGTCCCCTGAGGATCTTGTTAGAAATATAATTCTGATTCAGTGGGGCGGTGGGGCGGGGAGCTGAGAGGCTGTGATTTTAACAAGCTCCCAGGTGACATTGATGTTGCAGGTCTGAGGTCCTCAGAATGTCCACCTTTATTCCGTGACATGCTCATCAGTCACCCTGATGCTGAGACAATCCCTGACAGTTTGCTAAGTAAAGTCTTCTCCAGCTTGTTGAAACAAAGCTAAAACTAGTACCTGCTCCCTGTGTAGATGCAGGCAGACCACTGCCTTAAGATTTCATGCAGACTCTAGGGAGAAAAAACTTGGCAGACGATTCCCCTGTGCTTCCCTCGCCAGAACTAACAAGCAGCAGGAATTATTTACCATGAATGTAGCCTTTTGAAAATATATTTTCTCCCCTTGTATAATTTGATTTTCTCACTAAATTGTGGTCCCGTAACCTGATCTGGCAGAATACTCAATTTAAAAAAAAAAAAAACTATATCTTTGTGGCCCTGAGGGCACCAGAGTTTACCTGGCAAGCTGGTGGCACGTGAGGATATAATGTTAGGAAAAGCGCTCAGGGCAGAAGATGAGATTCGAGGTCCAGAGATGCTGAGGAGTGAGAAGTTCTCCATATTCTGACCACTGCAGGACATGGAGGTCACACACCTGCTTCCAAGAGGTTGGCTGAGTTGTCCAGACGATGAACATTCTAAGTGCAGTTGACATCACAAGGTCCATGATTCCACTCCCCAGCTAGGTTTCCCCTCTGAAACATGGATAGAGTCTGTTACAAGCAAGATTAAAAATGTTCAGGATTTAGTTTTTCTTTGCCCCGTCACTGCTCAGTAGCCTGCCTTAAGTGAGAACACCCAGAGAGAAGGAAAAACAGAGAGAATGCCAGTGATGCCGTCTGTCCGCCCTCTTCTTATCTTTTTTCTGTGTTGACACTGCCCTTCCTCCAGCTCTGGAAACCTCTGTCCTCTCTGAATGACCTTCTTCTCATTTACCTGCCTAACCTCTGCTACAGAATATTTTTTGTCATTTTATTTTAGTTTCTGTTTTGGGGGGGGGGGTGAAGATACATCTTTTTTTACGTTTTCTTTGGAAATAATTTCAAACATATGAAAGTTACAAAAATAAAATCAACATCAAAGAACATTCATGTAGCCTGCATTTAGGATTCCCAGTTAACCTTTCACCCCACTACTTTATCTGTTCCCTCGCCCCCTTTCCTCCTTCCCCCCTTCCCTCCACCCCATATGCCTGTGTGCACTGCTAATTTTTTTCTCTGAACTATCTGAAGGTAAGTTACAAATATCATATCCTTTCAAGACTAAATTCTTTGGTACATACTTAAATAGGGGCCAGATATCCTTTTCAATGGCTGGTGTGTTTTGCAGCAGTGACTGGAGTACCAGGCGGCCACTAACTCAGAACCACGCTGCTCATCGTGAGCCAGTTTACTGGGGAGGTTCCGGACTCCGGAGAGGACAGGCAGCCTCTTCTCTCCGCTTTGATTTTGTCACATAACACTAGTGAGATGTGGGATAAGGGTGGCGCTTTGGAGATAAGCTGAAGGTGCCCTTCTTTAGATCATCGCCACACATCAACTAGCAGCAGTGCTTTAGAGCTAAGCAGCGGATGAATTTCTGCTGGGTGGGGAGATAAGTCCACTGCAGAAATACCAGTGGGCTCCTCTGCAGCGGTGGCACCTGCACGTGGAGCTGAGACTGGCCTTGCCACCTGTCTTTATGCACAGCGTTTAAACACCAGAGGGACAGTGGGAAAATGTGGCTTCTGTTGTATTCCTTTGTTGTGGCCTGGTTTGGAATGTTAGAATGCGTTGGGATATAAATGGAAGCCACTTGCTTAGGTAACTTTGAAGGTACTGGCAGTGTCATTTGGGCTAGAGACAGATGGCAGGGTCTGGGGTTCAGTGTCTGTGACTTCTGACCCCCCCCTCCCATGACTACTTGTGTGGTATTGGGCAAACCTCTCTGCCACTTGGTTTCCCCGTGGTGTTAATTTCGGCTCTAAGTTGGAGCAGAGGAATGTTTTCCTGGCTGGAACCTTGTGAGTTACACGTGGGAAGTACATATGTGTGAGTGCTGCGCTCAGGACCCAGAGGACATAGAATTTCATGCTTTGGTGGCCCGTCCCATGTCTCCCACTGCCAGCTAACAACTTCAGATATACTTAATATAAACAGGGCTCTAAATATTGCGGGGAAGTCTGAGAGGCTGGCTCTCTCAGTGCCTGTTGGTGAAGTGTATAAAATATAGACCCTGTTTGGGTTAGTTATTGAAGAGCGTCTGAGAGCCTGGTCGCTCCAGGGTTTGTAATTCTCCTGGTCTCAGGGCCTCTGTTCTTGCATGCTGTGTCCTCCTGGGTGTGTTGTTGCTGGTGGCCCAGGCAGGAGGTGACAGTCTTAAAGTGATTGGTCACTACGTAAAATATGTCTTTCTCTCGTTTGTTTCCCGCCTGCTTTCTGAGCCTCTTTCCTGGACAGGTAAGATGCCTTCTTCCTTGTGGGTGACTCACATCTCCAGGTGTCCTCCTTTGCTCGGGGATGTGCATGTGGGGGGGTGCTGTGGGGAGGGCCACGCATCCGGGGTCCAGTCATCTTTCTCTCCTTCATCGCCATTATTTTCTGAACCACCAAGCCTCAAGTTCTGAGGCAGGAATGACAGCGTGTGGAGGTCGTTAGAGCCATCAGAAAGAGAGGGGCTCATGGCACATCCCTCGCAGGTGGAGACGGAGGGAGCCCCAGACACAGTCCCACCTTGATGAGAAGGGCACTTTCTCTGGCCCAACCTCAAAAGCCCATGCAAATCTCTCCCATAAAGGGATTTTCGAGTGGTTTTTGTAAGTGGAAAAAGACTTGGGAGAAGTTGCTTTACAATGTCAGCCCATCGTGTAGTCAATTGTGAAGAATTCATATACAAGCCGATTTCAATTAAACTATCTTATTAAATGCCTGCGATTGTCTAAGACCCTAAGCAAGGCTCTGCAGAAGATAAAAAGCACTTAAGGTGATGTGCCCCCCCTCAAGGAGCTTGCTGTTTTATTACACAGAGGGTCCCAGAGGTCACCATAAATAGGAAAAATTAACAAAGTCATATTTTATATTTTTAATATATTTTATAAAAAAATTGTAATGAATATTTTGTAAATAAAGGTACGTTTAGCTACAATTTCCTACTGTCCTCCTCTGTATGTGTATATGGTGACCTTTAGGACACCTTGTAGAGACTAAGTGTTTTTACCTGAAAGAGTCAGACAGCTACAGAGAGTGTGTGATGAGCTATCTTCAGATCACTTAGGAATTCGGTGTATTTTACAAATTACAGTGTTATGGAAGGTAGACGACCAGAAGGATGCGTCCAAATCCAAAATGGTGCGTCATCCAAAGTTGTTTGTTATAAAGAGTGTTTTTAAAATAATAATAGGGGCCTGTCATTTACAAATCACCTTGACGGGTGTTTTGGTGGTTATACTTTTAAAAATGAGTGTGTCTGCTTTGAAAATTCACTTTACGCCAATAAGGAAACCACCTCGGGGACATCTGATCCAGGAGGTGCTGGAGGACCAGCTTTCCCCGGGTATTTTATGTGGTTTCATCATGGCCCATATACTTTTTGGTTTAGGGGAAGATAGTTAAATGGTTTAGTTTCCAAATCTTTGTTTGCCCGTTTGCAGATTACATTATTAAGGAAAATGAGAAAGATATTGGACACAATAGGTAAATCGCACTAAAGTGAACAATGTGGCAGGGTCCACCCTTCGGAGAGTCATTGGCTTGAAGACCTTAACTGCTGTGGGTGGGCCGAGAGCTGCTGCTAGTGCGGTCGGTCTGCATTAAAGCCCAGCCAGATGGGGCCCGGCATCCCAGGGATGCTGTCACATGAGTCCTCTGGTGTGTCCCCAGCCCACACTGGTGCTTTCACCTACATGTGGATGAGGGACAGTTCCAGAGGTGAAGAGTATGAGGCTCATCTACTCTTTCCCTGGATTTCTGGCTGCTCCCCAAAGACCCTCAAAATGTGGCTTACCTGTAGTCAGCCCATAGCAGGTAGCACTGCTGAAACCACAAAAAAGAGAATGGTTTCCCTTGGCCCAGGGCACAGCAGCGTAGGCAGAAAGAACTGTTTAATGCAGAAATTCAACAGGAGAAAAAGTCCGTCCTTAATCCTTTACTCTTAGAAGGGGCTTAGCAAGAACAGACGCTTGGCAGAGATATTGACAAGGAAAGGAGCCTAGGGACCAAATGCCTCCTCTCCCTCCACAGACTGACAAAACATCTCGAGTAGTTGGTATAGACAAAAAACTCAGGCCTGCTTCCAAGGCCCTGGAGTGGGTCTGGCTCCCTGATTATTAAGCTGGATTTCAGGTTGGGGAGGGGATGCCCAGGTGTGAGTATATGAACAGCCTGACTCAGAGCTGGGAGGTCCAGCTTTTTCAGTAATGAACCTTGAAGTTACCCTCTTGGCCTCTACCATTCTCCATCTGTCAGAGGGTTTTGGCTATTTAAGGTATTTATTGAGCATCTGGTCTACATACCAGACCCAGGCTTAGTGTTGAAGATTCAAAGATGACTGAGGCTTGGCTTCCCTTGCAGACCTTTACAACCCAATGGGACTGTACCTACCTCTTTGAGTTAACTGAGCCAAAGAAGAGCCTTGAGCTTTGGGTTAGAAAACCTGAGTTCTGGTTCCAGCTCCACTAGTAGTTAGTTCTGTCCCCTCGGGCAGGCAGTTCAGTATGTCGAGTGCCACCTTCTTTGTCTATAAGTAGATACCTTCCCAGGCTTCCCCTTACCAAGTCCTTGTGAGGATTAAGTGAGCTAGTGTTTGTCAAAGTCCTAGTGCTTCACTGGCCCCGAGTACCTTGGCGGGAACTGGCTCGGAAGCATCACTTAGCTTCTCTGTGTGTGAGCTGGCTCCTTTCCACCTTAGGACCCACAGGAACTGCTGGCCTGTTATCCATGGGGAAAATGGGCTGTGCTTGTGGAAGTCCCAATACCGAGCCGCGTGCCTGCTGTTCCTCCAGCAGCCCCTGTCCCATTGACTGAGTCAGAGAGCATAGCCTATGATCACAGTAGTGGACAAATGTCACATTTTACGTTTCAACCTCATTTTTTCATTACTCCCAATGGCCTGCTGACCCCAGGGTAAAGGAGTCATGCCCTGAGTCAAGGAGGCAGGTAGAAAGAAATATGCTTTTTTACAGCTGGGGTTAGTCGCTCATTAACTTGGGTGGGGCAGAACTGGAATTTCTGGTTCTGTATCCCATCCAAAAAAACTGTGCTGGAAAGTTCAAGAGCCTCTTTGTTGGCTCTTTCCTGAATGTTTCCAAACCCTGATGAAGCTACGAGTTTGGGGTATGTTGTAAGGGACAGAAAAGGTTCTGCTCCCCTCTCATCCACTTCTCTCTCTTCCCTTTCTGTCTGTAGTTGACCACAGCATGTTTGAGAACTTGAATGCAGCCCTCACTCCGAAGCTCCAGGCCAGCCGCTCCGTCCCACACTTGTCCAGGCCTGCAGCCCCCGGCCCCGCAGAGGCTGGCGGGCCAGGACTCTGGGTGGGTAGCAGCCAGCACCTCAGGAACCTGGGCAAAGCCATGGGGGCCAAAGTAAATGACTTCCTGCGGAGAAAGGAGCCCTCAGGCCTGGGCAGTGTGGGCGTGATGGAGATCAACAAGACAGCAGGGGCTCAGCTGGCCAGTGGGGCAGACGAGGCCTCAGGGGCCTGGCTAGAGGACGAGAGGTGAGCCTCCCCACTCCCTGCCAACATATCTGCAGCTCTGTGGCCCCACTTAAATAGGTACAAGGACAAACTGTAGTGTCTCCAGAGGAGAGAGGCCCTGAGGAAGAGATGAGAGGTTGTCCCGTGGGGAAGAGCTGAAGGATAGGGACGCCAGCACTGGCTTCACCCTCCATAACCATGGCTGAAGTTTATCGAGTCCCCACCATGTCCTTAGCACAGGGCTAACCTTAGTTGCTTCCTTTTCTCTAACCTTCGTAGGAGCCCTGGAAGGTAGATCCTATTTCAGTTTTGCAGGTACGTCAAGTTCAGAGTGATAAAGTGAGTAGCAAAGAATTAGTAATTGGCAGACTTGGACTCCAACCCAAGTATTGCCCCCAGAAGTTCTCCCAAGTGGATTGCAATGCCCGGCCACAGCTGAGAACTCTGTCCTAGACTGTTGGTGGCAGAGAAGACTGCTATCAGAGCCCACTGGTGATGGGACAGGAGAAGCCTCTCCCACCTCATGCCAGCGGGTTCTTTCCAGGCCTTGTTTTAAACACCTGTGTGTCCAAGGTGGTAACATCCTTTCCGGGGCTGGTGCACGGGTTCTGATAGGACATACTACCCCAGTGGGCTTTGTCCTGACTCCCAGAGACCACACTTTGTGCTGCTCTGAACACTATAGATGGAGCAAGCCAAAAGCCAATTGTTAAAGGTGTGGTTTAGCATGTGGGGGTCAGCAACTTCAGTGCTAAGCCTCACATGCTAAACCAAGAATGAGAGCCTCCAGGAAAGCAGTCCTTAGTGGGTGAGTGGGGAGTGCAGTTGGAGTTACGGGTGTGTCATCGTCCTTAAAGCACACGTGTTTGTTGTCATCAACCCTACAGGTCAGTGCTGCAAGAAGCATTCCCCCGGCTGGATCCTCCCCCTCCCATCACCAGAAAGCGAACCCCTCGGGCCCTGAAGACCACCCAGGACATGCTGATTTCATCCCAGCCTGTCCTAAGCAGTCTGGAGTATGGGACAGAGCTGCCACCTGGGCAGCCCCAGGACTCCCCTCCTGCTGCCCAGCCGGTCCTGGCAGACGCTTCACAGCCAGAGGCCACTATGGGAATGGGAGAGCAGAGCGAGGCTGTGCCCAATGGAGAGGTTTCCCTGTCAGTACCTGACCTGATCCATAAGGACAGCCAGGAGGAAGCCAAGCTAAAGACGACTGAGCACAGAAGGGCTTCCTCCCCCGGCTTCATCGAGAGGAACGGCCTCAAACTCAGCTTGAGCCCAGGCAACCTGGCTGAGTCCTGGGAGGACAGCAGCTCCTGTCCCCGGGCACGGACCTCCAGCCCTGACAATGAGGGCCCTCACCCAGACTTGCTGTCCTTCGAGTAGAGCTCTTCTCTCCCCAGCCTGGCACCATCCTGCTCCTGCCTCTGCCTTCTCCTCCCCTGTGCACGCTGGCCCTTGCCCTAGCTCCTCGATGCCCTTGGTCTTCCTCATACAAGACACCAGCAGAGGACCTGTCCTCCCACGGGTGGGAAAGTCCTAGTTGGAGAGTCTGTGTGCAGAATGGCAAAAGGACTTGGTGCTATCCTGAGCCTGATTTTCCATCAGCTCTTCTGGGCCTGGGCTAGAGCACTTCCACCCCTGAGCTTGTCCTACCTTCCCCCTGGATTGCTCACTACTTCCTGCTCCTTGGCTTCCCTCTCCCCTCCATGCCTTGGTTTCTTCCCTGTCTTTCCTGATGGGCCCAGAGGCCCCTGCCTCAAGGGGGAACAAGGCTGGACAAGGAATGATGGGTTTGGCTTGATGGTGGGCCCTTGCCCAGAAAGCCACACATCCTGACCACAGCCCAGCCGTGGCTCCTCCTGGTCCCAAGACAATGCTGGCCCCTGGTTGCCATCTTTCCTCTGCCCTGGAGTGGGGCCCAGACAGGATGCTTCCCAAACCTAAGATCTTGAGTGTTCACACAGGGTTTGAACCCTGTCACCCAGGGTTCCCGAGGTTTTTCCCCATCTGTCAGAGGTTGAATACAAAATAAGTCCCTCCTGCCTGTCTGGGAGTGGCACCTGGGAGAATGTTGTGACCAGCTCCGTGCACAGAGGGAATGAGGCTACCTTGGCCATGTATGTAAAGATGCAGCCAGGGACATTCTGATTTTGCCTTGGGGGGTGGCGGGCTCAGAAACTCAGAGGTGGTTTTGACAGTCAGGGTTGGTCCTAAGAAAACCTGGAGCAGAGCAGTGGAGAAGGGTGTGAAGGTAGGACGGAGCTGTGACTGGGGATCGGAGCAGTTTCGACTGCAGTGGTGCAGGTCTGGGCCTGGGTGCAATAAGTGCGTGAGCTGGGGACGTCTGTGCAAGATTGGAGTGTGATGAGGACTATGAGGCCATGAAGTTTTTATTAAGTGAGGGCACCTTGTGCTGAAGGCGCCGGCCTCCCTGGAACAGGCCAGAGGCAGTCATCCTCCTGTGATTCCTGTGGCCTCCCCTTTTCTGTTCGTTGTTTGGCTTCCCACCCTTGAACTCTTCTGTGATGCCCACGGCTCACACCCCAGTTCATCTCATCATCAAGCCCCCCGGCTCTCTCCCCACGGCCTCTGCTGCACGGATCATCCACACTAAGAAGTAGGGGCCTCAGCGGTGCCCTGGGATATGGGCACCTTCCTTCACCCTTGTTCCTAAATCCATGCCACCTTGCCACACAGCCTCCCATGCCTGCCCCCCACTCTGTCTCCCACTGCCCCCCAAAGCAAGGCTTTCTCATATGCTTACTGCAAAGCTGGGTCTCCCGTCACTCCCCACCTGCATCCCTAGCGGAGTGAGTGGGGCCTTACACATGGATCCTGCCTTACTCCCAGGATGTGAAATCTGACCCTGATGGCAGAAAATCTCAGAACTAGCATTTCGGGTCCTGTGAGTTTTCCCAGAATCCTTGGAGTATCATGTAAAACACACAGTAGGGCATGGGGGTGAGTCTCCAAACACACATCTTGGGAGCAAGCCAGTTTCATCTGAGCTCTCCCTACCAGAAGCAGAGTTTGCTCCTCAGACAGGAAACATAGCAGGCACCTACCATGGGGCTGCTGCTCCTCCAGAGACCCGGGTGGCTCTGTCCAGATGATAGCAGAGCTATAGGTATGGATGTTGCAGGTCCCAGCTTGCTGCTGGTACCTGTAGCCAGGCTGCTGCTGGAGGCTGGGTCCTCAGTTCCAGGATTAGGAAAGGGATCCCACCGGGTAGTCCAAGGACCATTGCCCAGGTGACCCCAGGGTTCTTCTGACTTGTCTCTGATGCCGAATGAGGTGCCCCAGCACCCCACTCCAGCCATCCTCCAGCTGCAGGGGTGAATGCTGCTCCTCTGACATCTGAGGAGGCTGACATCTGGCCTTAGGTGCTAAAGGTCCTGCCTAGTACTAGGGGCTAAGCACTGCCCAAAGCCCAGCAAGAACAGCTCCTTCCTGTTACTCCTGCTGAGGGCCTTGGCCCAAACCAGCTCTTCCATGTAATGCCCCACCTGGTTTCCAGGTCCATCTCAACAGTCCAGCCTTCCTGTGGTTGCTGCATGGCAGCCACACCCCATAGACCCTCCTAGTGAGTCCAACTTCACTGGGAGCTTGGCCTTGACACAGCCTGGACCCTGAGAGGGCAGGGTAGTGAGGAGGAGGAGGAGGAGAAGGAAGGCAGGGGCGTGTCTTCTAGAAGGATATTGGAACCACAGAGTCACTTGTTCCCCATTAATCCCTGACCCCTTCAGCATGCTCTTTATCCTTATAAGGTGAGCTTCCAGAATTCTTGCATAAAAGGAGATGTCTCTATGAGCGTCACGTATGTGGGTGATATGGAAGACACGTGTATGTAATCCGTCAACTTTTAAAGAACAAGAAAGTTGGCCCCAGTTTAGAGGAAGAGGAGGAAGATTACAGACCTATCCTGAGTATTATTTAGAGAGTTAATATTTATATTTTTAGCAATATTCTGGTAGAAGGAAATTGCACAATAAAATGATTTGGTTTGGTTTGCTGGTTTAGTTTTGTCC